CGGCAGGGCGGGCGGCTCCCTGGGGTCTGCAGCAGCTCTGGGGCAGCAGGACGGCTCCTCTGCGCCCCTGCAGAGCCTCTCCCATTGCTGGAGGGAAGCGGTGGGCGCAGGGGACGTGACACGGCATCAGCTCCCAGAAGGCTGTTGATGCACAACGTGCCCTGGCAAAGTGGCGAGAGGCTGGGCTCAGGAGCCTGGCTACCATCTTTTCCAGGACAGCTTAATCTGATTTAAGATTATTCATACCTGGCCATAGAGCTGCAGAGATTAAAAACGCTCCCCACCCCCCCCAAATCTCTGTAGAGACCACCCAGGCAAGGCAAAGGGTGCTGCGGGATGGGGGTGTCGGGACGGGCAGGGCCCGCGAGCCTCTGCCCCCAGCCTGCTGCCAGTTCCCACGTGGCATGCGGTGATTTGCTGCCGGAGAACAGCGGCAGTGAATTCCTATTTCGCCAACTGAAAAAAAAATGATGAGTCAGACTCCCCAGATCATCAGGCTGGCTTAATCAGCACCGGGTTCTCAAATAACAAGTTGGAGAGTTCATTTGCTTTCCCTGTCTGGTCCATGAGCCAGTTCCAGTCACGTTTCCAAGGGTTTTAACCAAAGTAGGGTTTTTTTAAAGTGAACAGGGTACAGTTTCACAGCCTGACTCCAGGAGCTGGAGCTTAAGAGAGGAGCCAGCAACAGTAAAGAGGGTGACCTGGGAACCCCAAGGGCCACCCCAGCCCTGCTGGGGAGGAGGCGGGAGGTGAAGCAGGTGGCCCTTTCCCCTGCCCACCTTTCCTCTCACCTCTCCCACTGCCTCGGCCAGACTGGGGGGGGGAAATCCCCATGGAGGGGAAAGTTGGGGCGGGGAGGGGGGACGACCCTGGCAGGCCCTGGGAGCCTTTCACCCGGGAACGAAATTGTCCACGGTGATCTCATTAGGAGTCTGGATGGGCACCAAGTCTGGTACCAGCATCCCTCCAGTACTGGCGTCCCCCCGGTACCAGCATTCTTCCAGTACTGGCATCTCCCTGGTACCAGCATCCCTCCAGTACTGGCGTCCCCCCGGTACCAGCATTCTTCCAGTACTGGCATCTCCCTGGTATCAGCATCCCTCCGATACTGGCATCCCCCTGGTACCAGCATCTCTCCAGTACAGGCATCACCCCGGTATCAGCATCCCTCTGATACTGGTGTCCCCCTGGTACCAGCATCCCTCCAGTACTGGCACCCCCCTGGTACCGGCATCCCTCCGGTACTGGCATCCCCCCGGTATCAGCATCCCCCCGGTATCGGCACCCCCAGGTACCAGCATCCCCCAGGCGTGAGCATCCCCCAGGCGTGAGCATCCCCCTGGTACCGCCCGGGGCACG